ATGTATGTATTACTCATTTCCTATGCAGACAGAAATTTTTATAAGAAAAACTGTTCAAACATTGGTAAGAGGTGTCTGGTTTCATTAAACACTCAGGAACTCCAAAAAAAATCCAAAAACTATGTCACAGTTTTGATGTTGACTCAAAAATGTACATTACTGAGTTACTCAGCCTATTCTCAAACTGCATGTAGCAACTGAAATCTCACACTTAGCAAGTCACTCTTACAGCCAAGGTCCTGAAAAGAGGTAGCCCTTTTCGTGTAGAGAAAGCTCTGATCCACAGCAAAGGTTTTGAAGATGTGATGAATTTTGTTTACACTGTATATTGATGTACATAAACTGAGCGCCCAGAACATATCTTTCTCTGCAAATCCCATGCCGCCTCATTAAAATGTCAACCTACGCAACTAAAATTGAGATTACCTTCCTATCACTACATATAAAATTATAAGGTGCTTCAGTCTCTTCCATTGGAAAATTAGAATTTTTTTTAAAGGATTCAACATTGATTTTAAAAGAAATACACAGCATATTGAAGATGTTAATTATACTAAAAAATTAAAATAAAATAAATTAAAATCTATAAAATGGTATGAAAATAAAATTAAAAGCAAATGTCTATTGGAATGTCAAAATTATTCTAAATTCATTTAGTTCTTTAATAAAATGCATAGTACCGGATATATAAATACATACACTGCAGTCTTATTGATTTGTTTTATTTGATAAAATGCTTTTCTCTACTATATATGGACAAGTAATGAAGAAGAAAAAAAAAAAAAAAAAAAAAAAATTAAAAACTTCTAAAAAATATTAAATGCTCTATCAAAAATGAGAGAAAACATCATTAGTACAGGAAATAATACACAAGAAAATTTGAAATCCAAATACTGCAATGCACACCTCCATGCATAATGTTCAAAGGTCACATAAAGCAAAATACCAGGCTTTAAGTAAAGCATGCTTTGACAACTGCATTCAATTTCCTCACAGGCAACAATAAATGCATTACACCATTATTAAAAAGCTTCAATACATTTGAAAAGGGTAAAATGACATTTACCTTCTGCCATCACCAGACCATCAGGACAAAAATACAAAAAGAATTAGAGGAGAAATATATAAATAAATAGTTGAATTATTAATATTACAGACAGTTCCCCACATGGCAATAATCGTGCAAAAGCCATTTAATTAAGTATGAACATTATTTTATAATATTACAAATATAAGTTCAATAACCAATGTAAATAACCAAGTCCAGAATGAGTCAATGAACTTAAAACATTTAACAAAACATTGGAATTGCTCACCAACTTCTTCTCCATCTTTGTTTTAATATCTCTGGCAAGAGTAAAAAAGGCTTCCTCCACTCTTATAGATGCCTTGGCACTTGTCTCCATGAACTTAATACCATATTCTATGGCTAGTTGTTCTCCTCTCTCTTTTGTAACCTATAAAATGTATGTGATTTTTTTTGTTTATATGTCAATGATTTCAAGTTTGAACTAATGCAAAAGAAAAGAAAAAAATATTTTACCTGTCTCTTTTCATTCAATTCACATTTATTACCAAGCAGCATTTTCTCAACATCAGCTGAAGCATTTTCTTCGATATTTCTGATCCAATTTTTTATATTTTCAAAACTTTTTTCATTTGTGATATCATAAACTAGCATTATACCCATTGCACCTCGATAATAAGCAGTCGTAATGGTTCGAAATCTTTCTTGCCCAGCTGTGTCCCTGATAAACATTAACATGAAAATTTAATTTTTAGTAAGTTAACTACTTGTAAACCTTTGCCTTAAGAGTTATTCGAAAAATGATATATTTATTTATTCTTACCATATCTGAAGTTTAATCTTCTTGCCATCTAATTCTATTGTTCTAATTTTAAAATCTATACCTAGAACAAAACAGTTAATAAATTCATGGTTTTCAATTATCAATCGTTACAAATATAAACGAGACGAAGATCGAACACACACCAATACTATATCAACTGTCAACATGAACAAAGCTACTTAAGTGAACACTCCAAGTTTCTTTACTTTTCCGCCTACCATTCACGTCTGTCATTACAAATTCATCACCCCATTAGACTCAAGACTGTTTCATTTGTGAATGATTTGTCATCATTCCATCCAATCACTTCATGATGACTATTGTAAAAAATGTTCAATATATGCTATAGTGAAACAATACTTCGAAAATACAGCAATAAATTTCGTTTCAGCGACGCATGGAAGGATACAAAACCTCAATTCCAAGGAACAAGATTCCATTAACAATAAATGGACCAATTAAATAATTGCTTAAATGTGGGTATAAACACTATTATAAATACACAATAGGATTATTCTAGATTTAGTTTACTTGTTTCTATTTCTAGCTTAATTAGTCCTTCAGCGAATTCTTTCACTGGTCTTACCTATAGTCGAAATAAACGTTGTATTGAATGCATCTTCTGAAAATCTAAACAGAACGCAAGTCTTTCCTACACCAGAATCACCAATCAAAAGTAATTTAAACAGATAGTCATACGTCTTTGCCATGTTTCTTAATTAAATATCAAGTTGAAAGGACTAGTCATGGCCACCATCCAATACACTTGTCGACTGCTATGGGCTGCTACTGACGTGTGCTGGACGTGTGGTCGGGGATGGGACGGGATGCTGAAGCGGTGGCGGCGGAGAGACTGCGGCAACCAACGGCGGCCTTTTGGTAGCAAATGCCGACCGTATTAATCTTGCTTGCATGCATCCCTCTGCTGCCTCGAGCGCTTCTGACAGTTTGTGGACAGAACTGGGACAGAATGAAAAGAATGTAGATAGTGCAGCCTGTTACTGACAATTCCTTATCAAGTTTGCATGTCAATGAAACAAGGATCTTGCAAGTGTACATCGGAAATTATAAAGAAGTAAGTTAGTACTACCTAATTAATGAAATACGAAAACGTAAAATACGAAAGTGATTGAAAAAGTGAGTGTTGGCTGTCACGTAAGAGAGAGAGAACATAGTATAGTTCTTGCTTGTGTATATGGTTATGTGAAATAGGCAGTGGACGTTAATAATGTACTGCAATGCCTGTGCATTATTACGGATTTTAACATCATGGTATTTTTCCTGTTATTTGGATAAAAAAGTCTATTGCGAATATAACGTTTATATTGAATGGTAATAAACTTTACCGAAATTATTTGATTAATTGACAGTATATTATTGTGACAATCGGAACAACAATCGGTTAGCCACAATTCTATGACGTGAGCCCTCTAAAATATAAGTTTTGAAATTATACAGTCGCTCTTGGAATCGTTCTTGCTCAAAATGAATCATAAACAAATGAGAAAGATCGTGATTGACGAAAAGAAAGCAATGATAAAAGTCGTTTTTTCTCTATTTGACGAGGATAATAATGGGTATTTGGATTATGAAGAATTAAAGTTCGCACTGAAAGCTTTGGGGTTTTTGGTAAAGAAAGCAGAAGTGTTAAAGATGCTGGAAACATATGATAGAAAGGATAAGAAATTAATATGCTTTGAAGATTTTAAAACCATTGGTATGGGCTAATAGTTTTCTATTAATGGAATTAAACATTTAAATTGCTACAATTTCTATTTTTTATACTAATAGCAATTGATAAAATAATGAGGTGTCACCCTATCGAAGAAATGAAATATGCCTTCAAATTGATGTGTGGTGATTATCAGCAAGGTATAGGAGTCAAAGAGTTGAAAAGAATTGTTGACTTGACAGGCTTAGAAATTAATTCTAATGATATTGAAAGTATGATAAATGAATTTGATACTGATCAAGATAATATTTGTAAGTTTCTTTCCTTTAGTTAGTTAATTACCTACTTTTCACTTTATTTATTTGTTGACATGTTGTTTCCAGTAAATGAAGAAGAGTTCTTGAAAATAATGTTGATAGAAGATTAAAACACAATGTAATGATTACATTGCCATCAAGACAAATTCTAGTTGCTATTGCTAGATTATTTTAATGGTGTGAAATGAAACACTTTGAAATGTTGAATTTAATAATTTTTGTTATGGACATAAAGAGTTTTGATATCATGACTCTCTCTCTCTTTTGTTAAGATGAAGATTTATCTTTTCAATATTAAATTGTTAATTGTATAATTTATTGAAGGTTGTGATGGCCTCTACCAGTTATGCATGGGAAGATGAAGCAAGGCGCACAGTTCTTGACAGCCATGCAGCTTTAGGACGAATGCAACAAAGTATTGCTAATTCCCATCGCGTTGCCATTGAGACTGAAGAAATAGGTACAGAAGTTGTTTCTGAATTGGAACAACAACGAGAAACACTGTTAAGAAGTAAACAACGTTTGGAAAATACTAGTGATGTTTTAGATCATTCCCGTTCTGTTATGAGAAAAATGACATGGAATGTTCTGACAAATAAACTAATTCTCATTCTAATTATCATATTGGAAATTGGAATATTAAGCTGTACAGTTTATTTGAAATTTTTTAAATAGTCGAATATTCCATAATGTTGAAGATGTATTTTAATGTTCTTTGCATGAGAGTCAAGTGAAGTTACTAAAAGGACGTCTCATCATGAAATTACTGAGTGTTGTGGATGTATTTTGTGGTGGATTCATCAGTTGGATGTGGAAAGGTCTGGGTTATTTTGCACATCTGTTCCTTCATATGTTTTTGTAAGAATATTGTCAAATTGTTTAAATGCATGTATTATGTTGTTGTATAAATGGATACAATTTTTTTCATGTATGGTAATTTAGAGTATTGACATTGAGTTAATGTTACTAGTTGCCCAACTTTTTGAAAGTATGAATATTTTCATCTTTCAATATTTCAACAAGATGAAATGTGTAAACTACAAAAATTAAATTTAAAAGCAGATGAAAAAACACTGTTTATCAAGTTCATTCCCTTCTGCATGCATTTTATTGTGTAGATACAATTGTAATGATATTTCCACAAAAAGTAGACACATGTTTAATGTTGTAGACACAAAGTTGAAATGTAATGCTGTCCGAGTTCCTAATGAATCTGAAGATAAATTCAAAAAAATAATGTAAATTACTATAATATTTTTGCTAAGGAAGAGAGGTAACATAATTTGACCCAAATTCTTAAATGTGAGAAATGACGTGAAAGCTATAAGTAAATTTTTGTATATAATTAAGTGGTTTTGTATAAAATTAATAATTTCCTTGGCTCCATGTAGTAGAGAGTAAAAGTATTGCAATCAGACTTCCTAGATGCAGGGACAAGAATGGGAGAAAGGGTGCACCATGAATACCTGCCTCGAGTGATTCTGAATCATGCTACATCATTGTTAATGAGTACTCTGATTATATTACTGACATTTGAAAATAATAAATAATTAGAATCTAAATTGTTACATTTCTTCCCAACCATTACAATATCCAAATTCTGCATTTCACTAGTCTAATGGGGAAAAGTTTCGATATGACACATTCCCTCATGTAAGCTACTGTAAAACCTTGTCTAAGAATTTGCGATATTTATTTAATGTACATATTATGTTAGTGTGCATTGGAGAGTAGAGGGTCTTGCGGATAGGCGGCAAGGAGTGAAGTCAGTATAAGAGTATGCGGAATAAAGCAGACCGAATTGTGATAAGTGTATTATTTCAATAGCCACTATAACGGTGTCAGGATTGAAGCTTTAAGTGAAGGTGATTGAAAAAACGATTGAAGGTAAAAATGGATAAAATGTATATTTGAACGAGAGAAAGTGAAGTACACAAGCAGGGTTAGGATAAATGCCGACAGCAATTTTCAAAATTTTATTTGCAAAAAATGCTGATACAACAGATGCATAAGGAAGATGCATCCAAGCATAATGCCTGCCTATAACTAATTGGAGAATCATTGAAGAGGTTTCAGGAGCAAGTAGAACATCAAACGTCGGCTTGGTAGATGAACCAGGCAGCGCAGTCTGGCACACTGTCTGACTCCAGACGACACAAGGGAACAAGGCTGGAGGCAACAACACGCTTATTTCTCAGATTATACCTTGGACACAGCCACTGGATGTCGAAACAGGTGACATACGAAAACGTCCAATTTTTTAAAGAAAACTTGTTGCCCATTGTAGTGCCACGGGCATCAACACGTGGCCAAATCTTGAACCCATTAAAGTCAACGTGTTACTATTAGTTACACGAGATAAATGTATTCAAATTTGACATTTACCGGGAATGTTTTGAAATTAATCGGTGAACTTAGATTTATTGAGAGAGAAAAAACACAGTAACAACTGTTTGTGACGTATGGGGGAGATCATCTGCGCACGTTTTCTGGAGTTCCAGAATCCCTTCCCGTCACTTTCACTATAAATAGTTGAAAGATGTGTAAAAGTTTAACAAAAATAAATTTTAAAAATCGCAAGATTAGCAATATTTGAAAAAATATACATTTTCGTTTCCGAGTTATAGAAAAATTATTTGCATCGGTGAACGAATTGCAAGTATAATTTTTGTGCATTGCTAACAAAACAGTAACTCGCCCTTACGTCTACTCTTACCATTACAAGCAAAATGAGAGTGCAACAACACGTGCGCATAGTGAAGCAACATTTACGCCCAGAAGCAAAACAAGGGGTCATCTCAGCATTTGCTCAATGGCTCAGGGAAACTGGACAAAAATCCTGATTGAGATGGGGTCATTGACCCGACAGCTGAAGTACATTAGAAAGAAGGTAGGATCTAAGATCGAGCCTTGCGGAACCCCATGTTCAATTGGTAAAGAATTGGAAAGATAAGTTAATAATGTCCTTTCGTGCCAGTACGGTATTTATACTCTTTGAGATCGATGTTTAAGGTACGAGGTTATCCAATCTAGGGCGATACCATGAATTCCATTAGAGGGTAATTTTGATAGCAAGATGTTATGGTCAATAACGTCAAAAGCTTTCGAAAGATCTAAAAATATTCCAATTGGTGCTTCATTTTGATCTTTTGATGAAGCAACATCTTTAAGAACAGAAAAAATGGCAGTTTCCGTACATTTTTATTTCCTAAACCCGTGTCGTGAATCTGAAAATGCTTCAATTTTCCTGAGAAAAGTTTCCAATCGCGTATAGAAACGCGTATGAACGTTTGATATCGGATAAAATTTTTGTATGTGACCGTTTCATATTTCAAAATTGTAATCAATTAGAGGACAAATCGTTCGATTCTTATTTTCTTAGAGTAAGAAAAGCCGTCGGCCTTTGTAAATATAATGGAAATGTCACGTATGACGACATGTTGAGAGATCGATTGGATTTCGGTATTAAAGATATTAATTTATAGAAAAGTACCTTCATGAGAAACCTGACATATTTGAGTGTTCAGATTTGTTAAGTCAATGAACTTTCAGAGCTACGTCTAAAGAGTACAATGAAGATGAAACAGTACATAAGATCTCAAAATTCATAAAAATTAATGTGTTCATAAAAAATCAATAAGTATTCAATGATATAGAATTTGTGGAGGTAAACGCGACTCTAAAAAGGAATTGTGTTCAGCATGGGGCAAGACTTGTGTTATTTGTCAAGGTCGAAATCATTTTGCAAGAATATGTTTGAAAAATGAGAAGAAAAAGAAAAGTGGTACAGACAACTTGCAGTGAAGACACAAATCCATGAAAGAAATTAAGAAAAAGGAAGAAGCTTCAGATGTTAGCAGTTGTGAATCAGATTTCGAGAACTCTTTGGAGGTGTTTAAAATAAAATCAAGGAAAGTTAATTGAGATTTAGATGCCTGCTCTCAGGCAAATGTTATAGGTTATCTAAACTATTGTAAGGTAACGGAGGAAGCTGCATCAAAACTTGAAGCTTCTGTGGAATAGTTGAGGAATTTTGGCGGAGAACGTGTTGGGTATTGGAAGGTTGGGGGAAGCAGTACTTTGTGTAGGAGAAAGGAGAAACAATTCGTTCTCAGGTTTCTGGTGGTTAATGCGTATCACGGCCTTTCAGAGGAGACATGTGTAGTATTAGGTTTGGTGAAATATTGCTTTGAAATAAATACAGAGAAGAAATTGAGAGAAGTGGAAGAGGGTTGTAAAGAAGCAACCTCTCTAGCAAAGAAACATGAACCCGTTTTCAATGGTATTGGATTATTGCCGATGAAGTTTCTGAGAAAATAGAAACAGTGGCTCAACTAGCAAGAAGAATGCACATTAGTTTAAGGAATAATTTGAAGGAAGAACTTCCTTGTCAGGAGAAGGAAGGAATCGTGACTCAGGAACACAACAATATTGATTGGGTGAGCAATATTTTACTTGTTAAGAAAAATTATGACGCACTGAGGATTTGTTTAGATCCGGTACCTTTGAACCCAGCAATAAAGCGCCTTTTCTTTCCGTTTACAGCTCTTCTTGAAATTATACCAGCGATAGGAAAAGCTAAAGTGTTTTCAACCCTAGATGCAAAAAAAAAAAAAAAAAGCATTCTGTCAGATAAAATTAACAAGGAGAGCAGCAAGCTCACGACCCGTTTGAAACCCCTTCTGGAACCCGTTTGGGAGATACAGGGAAATCTGATGCTCCCTTTTGGATCCCCAGACATTTTTGCATAGAAAATGCTACAAAGTACTCAGGATTTAAGAGGCATTGAAATATTAGTTGATAAAATTCTAATTTATGGATGTGATAACTCTTTAGAGGAGGCATTGAGATATCGTAACCGTAATTTGGAGAATCTCTTAATACGATTGTAATCATAAAATTTTGCAAGATCAACAAAGAAATCGAAGCTATGCTAAACATTGTAAAATGTTTTGGTCACATTTTGACAAGTGGTGTACAACCTGACCCAGATAAAACAAAATCGATTATAAAATGCCTTCCTCCAAGAACCGAGACAGCTCCTTCGGTTTTTAGGTATGGGGACATACTTGAGTTGATATATTGAGAATCTGACCGAGGAAACATCTTGAGAAGACTTACGAGGAACGATGTAGACTGGTCTTTGACCAGCGAGAAAGAAAAGGCTTTCAAGAAGAAAAATAATCTGGTAGCAAATATAAACTCTCAGCAATATTTTGATGTTAACCAACCAGTGATTCTAGAATGTAATGCTAGCTCTACAGGTTTGGTGGTTGTTTATCAGAAGGATAAAGTGGTTAGATGTGCTTCTAGGGCGCTCACAAAAACGGAAAAAATATGTTCAGACCGAAATGAAGCTTTTGGCTTTAGTTTTTGGATGCACAATATTTGATCAGCTGTTGGCTGGTAATAAACAAATTATAATTAAAACAGATCACAAGTTCTTGATTTCAATTTTCAAGAAATCCTTATCGAAAGCTCCTAAAAGACTACAACTAATGATGATATTATAAAGATACCATCGAGAAGCACAATTTGTAAAAGGAAAGTATGTGGTTGCGGATGCTTTATCAAGGGCATCTGTTGGAAATTATTTTGTAAAAGAAAAACTGAAGTATAAAAATATTTTTGAAATTTTAAAAGGAATTCACCAATCTTTCAAGAATTAAAGAATATTTGGAGAAATTGTTGCAGATATCACCTAAGGGAGTTGAGAAAATTAGATCATGTTCGAAAAATGATTTAACAATGCAGAAACTAGAAGATTATATCCGAAATAGTTGGTCGAGAAGTAGAAGTAGTATTCTGAAGTAGAAGATTCATGTATACTGTTTTATAAATATAAGAATGAACTGATGGCACAAAAATATATCTACAGAAATGACAGGTTATTATTTCCCCTTTCATTATGAAAGAAGATTTTGGAGAAATTACACATCACACATTCTGGAATAGATGCAACTGTTAAACTGGCAAGGGATACAATTTTTGGCCTGGAATGTTTACCAAGATTACCCAGTACATACAAGGTTGTGAAGTCTGTATGAAATTTATAAAGTCCAAACAACATCCTCCGTTGCAATCTCACGAGGTACCAGAAATCCATTTCAGCTTGTTTCGATGTTCGTTTTCTCTGCCGAATACAAGGGTTGGAAAATAAGATATTTGCTTACTGTGGATCACTATTAAGATTTTTGGAACTAGATGACCTATCTAATCTATCAGCAGATACTTTGATTAAAATTTGTAAAATTAATTTCAGTCGCCATGGTATACCAAAACGAGTTTGCTGTGTTATGGGACAAACTTTGAAACTAAACTAATGCACAGTTCAACAAAGCTTAGCATTTTAAGTTTGTGACATCACCATATCACCAGAGAGGAAATGGTAATGCAGAAGCTACAGTTAAGATTGCCAAGAGATAATTAAAAAGTCTGAGGAGAGTGGAGAAGACTTTAATATATTTTGCTACATTGGAGAAATACGCAATAAAATAGGCTCAAATTCTTCACAAAGGATTTTTTCAAGAACCAGAACATGTTTTCCTATGACTACAAAACA